ATACCTTTTCTTAATCTAGGTTCATCACTGATCTGGTTCTCAGTTATACTGGCACTGGTGATTGATCTAGCCCTCATAGCAATACTTCTCTTCGAACTGGAACGTATTGAACTCCCAGTGAGAGGTCTCTCGTATTCATCAATAGTAAGGAGTACAAAATAAGTATACTATCTCCAGCAAATTCCTTTGTTTTCAGGAATGCTTCACTTCACTAGCACTAAGCATTTTTTATTTCATCTGTATTTGGTTATGCTTTAATGGCCAAGAATTCTCTGGAAGCAGCTGGTTTTACGTTGCAGCTGTGAGTAATTATAGGTTTTCATTTCTCTTATTTTTGAACTCAATCGTTGCTTAGGGGAAACTTGTTTCTATCTTGAATAACTGCTTGAAGCTAACATAATCTCTTACGGGGCACTTTCAGTTTTCCTGCTTTACTAACTTTGTCCTCTATGCCGCAAACTTTGCCGTTTATCTCAGGAAGTGGATGGCGGAACAAAGAGCTGCAAGTAAGTGTTCTGTGAGGCTCCACCTTACGCTTTTGCATTGCAGCTAATGGATTTTTCTTCAGGATCCGATCCGTCTGGCGTGTATGACTTCCCCTCTTACGGTTCCCCATGAATCTCATGCTCGTTAAATCAGAATAATTCTAGAACGATGACAATAAATCATTCGACGACCAAGTTTATGCAGTCCAAAAGACTAATAGACTTACTAAATTTGCTTTTGAAACACAAGGCTTTTCTGATTTATGCCATTGAAAGACAGTAAGGATAGGAGATTTATATTGCTTGCACGAAACAGATATGATACTCATAATCATAACCAGTATGTGGAAAACCTTATAAGCGCTCATTTTCGTCACATGATTTCAAACAACAAAAACAAAGTAACAAAGATCAGTCAAAGATTCAGAAGCACACAAAGATATTTAGCACCTTTCATAGTATCTGAGGCAAAACATCAACACTATGCTTCCGTTCTATCATCTCTTTATAAAATGTAAATATCTGTTTTGATCCCTCTCGTGCTAAGCTAAGCGCAGAGGCAAATGTTCCCATCTTAAAGGGACCCACGGAATCGGATGCGATCATCTCACCGTCACCCTGGAAACAAATCTACGATGCGTGAATCACCCAGCCCACTCAGCTTCTCAGAAGAAGACAAAACAAATTTACATGGAACTGACCTCAGCTGTCCTCGTAAAGACGAAAAGCCAATGGGCTGTCGCTTTCGACTCTGTTCTCGCGTCTGCATCCAAGACAAGTTTCCCATCAACTTCACATACTTCTACTCCACAGAACGGAGCTCTGCAAACTGCAACTACTTCACTATTTTTCAGGCGAGCATGCACTTCAACATAGACCAATGAGAAAAATTCGTAATGTTACTCAAACAGCTCTAAAAATCTTTCAACTAGGCCGTGCTCCTAAATACCAATCCCAAGCCCTAAACGTTATTGGTTCTTTTATGATGCTTACCGTATAACAATGCCATTATCCAAAACTGCGAGACCAATGGCAGTTAAAGCTGTAGCACCCACGCTACCATCTGATTGTAGAAGATGAGCCGTGACCTAAACAAGTAATTCTTAGGAGTAAAACCGAAGAAACTATAATATACCGTTAATCCTGTCCGCGGAAACATTTCCAAATCTAGAACTGATTCCAGCGTAGCTTGAATTATATTATTCAGCTAAAATATGTGGTATGAAGGAAAGAAAAGAAGCCAGTAAAGAATCAGATAACGCACATGATGATGTTGACAATCTCCTGTTAACTGTCGAAAACTAACGTCTAGATGCATCTTATCGTCTTCTCTTCGCGCGACGTGGATATCACCTGAAAATTGCAATTTAGGTAGTGAGTAGCGAATTTGAAGTTAGAAGAGTATGATAATGGTAATGTTTTCGAAACTCTTGAGTCTTCCAGTGAGAAAGATCTGGAAAAGTTCCAAGAACAGACTACCACAGTCCTTCATTTTTACTTCTATAGGATAAATAATTACCAGGCCCAGAACAGCTAGCCCAGACAGAAGTTCTTCCTTGTGAATAAGAGCAAGAGCC